GGTTCAGGCAAGCAAACGCGATTCCCTGCGCCAAAACACTGCCCCAAGGCCCGTGTTCCCGCAGCGGGGTGAGCCCATGGCCAGCTGTACCCTAACCCAGTTCAGAATGAGACAGATACCCAGTGATGCTGGGGTGGGCACAGCTAGTGACGCTCGCTGTCGGTAGTGCCTCGAATTAAACTGGCCCTGCAGACAAAGATGTTTTTGAAATACAAAATTTGCTAAAAACTAAAAGGAAGAGTGGATGAACAGTTAGGTTGCTTATGTTCTCCCCCCGCTCGCAGCACGGTTGGGATATATGCACAAGGAACTACACGGACAAGATGGTCATCGTGGTTTGCCCACTGGGCGACCAGCGGGAAGTCTGCTGCTGCGGAGCCCCCGTGCTCACCGAGCCATGCACTGAGACTGGCAATTGTCTGTGCTTTGGTCCTAAGAACCGCTTGCTTCAACTGGAGAGATCTGAAATGATGCCTCTGTAAAAGCAATTGCTTGGTCTGTGTCATCTCCCAGCTGTTTCTCCTCTACCAGGTGCCAAATCCGTCTTGTCCTAATTTTATCCTCAGTCAGGGATGGCTGCGATGGAGCTCTGATAGTTTGCCCCTTTTTGAAGGGTGTTCAGCTTGAATCAGATCTGTGCCTGGGGAAGTGAACAAAAGCGTGTGTAGTTTAAATATGTGTGTTCTGCAGGGTGCTTGGTGTCTTGGGCATCTGGAATAGAAGCAAGGCTTCTGCTAACCTCCTCTGTAGATTCCTTCTCCTCATTGTCCCCTTCCATAGATTCTTAACCAAGGTTTTCCTCTCCCTGCTCGTTCTGTGATACTCTCTGACGGCTCTAACAAAGTCCCTGTGACTTGCCCATCTCTGAGTAGCAGGTTTATTTTAGTCCGTTCCACCTGCAGGGCTTTTTTAAGCAATAATTTTATAATTTGGGAAGCCTTCCCTGAAACTATTCAGAGTCCTTATGTGCGTTTTTTCCCCCCTTCAGTTTCTGCAAGAGTAGAGTCTGTGACACGGAAGAGCAATTAACTGGCTGATAACAACTAAATAGGCAAAAGATCAGTTGGGTTAGATAGTATTTAAGATTACTTCTCTAATCAGATGTTTCATTTCTGCTGCTTTTTCTTATGCCCTCCCTTTGTCTCTTGTCATCTGCAAATTCTTCAGGTCACAGTAATAATCTCTTTGGAGTTAAATGTTTATTAATATGAACCTATAGCTTAATGCTAGTAAGGGACACTGTGTATTTCAGTTCCCTGAAATGTGCAGTTTTACTGCTAATTGAGAGGAAAATAGTGTTACACATCCTCAGTGTTCCTTATGCAGAAGCTAGAACTGATTTCATAATTTGACTCTTAAAGAAAAAGAAAATATTTTTCTCTGGTAAACAAGTTAGAATCTGACATTTTCTACCAAATTCCCTTTTGCTAGTATTGTATGTGAGAATGCGCATTTGGAAAAATGGTATGAAGCCTCTGTAGACAGAAACTGTCAAAAATCACTGGGAAATAATCGGGAAGTAAATTAATGGCAGTTGCCCAAATGTCAACTCCTGTGAACTTCTCAGCTGAAGGTGCAACTGTGTCTCTGGTTTTTTAACTGTATGTATTACTACAACTGTCAGTTGCCTTCAAAAATGTTTTAGAAATAGGGTTTCAAACCTTTTCCCAGCACACAATAGCTTGTGGGCAAAATGGAACGATTTATTATAAGTGTTTTACCAGAAAACTCATGCTGAGATACTTCTTCAGCAGTGTCTTATGGTTTCCAAGAGTGCTCATTATCAGGTGAAGTCATTAAAAACCTGCCATTGCCTTCTGATAAATCAAGTTACAGAAGCAATTTTTTTAAACTAATTTTTCAAAGCATAAATCAAATCTGAGTCAAATACTTAAAGATCAAGGTTTGAATGGAGTTTTATAAATGTCTTCGCAGTGCTATGAAAATAAAGGAATTGTGTCAAGTATTCTTGCAGTGGATCAGTGCCCATCTGTGTTACACATGGCCCCAGCTCCCCAAAACCACGTGGGAGAAGCCAGCGACGCTGCCTGTGGTCTCAGGGAAGAACTACACATATTATCAGAACTTGGAGAAATTGGCTCTCAGTCTTCTGTTTCAGTCCATCTACAAGAAAATGTTTATGTATTCCCATCCTGCTGTTCAGAAAACAGCACTTGTAAATAGGTACGGCAGAGAAAATGCACTGCTCTTTTTTCAGACTCTGTTTGGTGCCCAGATGGTACATGAACAGGTTTGGATGCTCCCGTAGCTCTGAGAGGTGTGAACTAGAGCCTGCACTTTGATTCTCTGGTTTGGATCTATGTCGCAGAGATTTTTCTTAACAGAAGTTTCTTACCAGGGCAGGTGGTTCCAGTTCACACGCTGTGCACCAGTGAAGTCCTGCCATCCACGTCCCAGCTGAGCGTCTTCATCATCGCTACAGGTGGAACCACTGGCTGATGTTGCCTTCTGTGCACCACCTTTATTTGGCTGAAAAGTTTGAACCAAAAAAGTTCTTGTTATGGTGCTTATGTGGGATACCAAGAACTTCTGTAGGATTTCTTCCTTCATCTGAGATTGCACAAGGGTTCAAGTCAAGTAAATCACAGAATCACAGAATGTTAGGGGTTGGAAGGGACCTCGAAAGATCATCTAGTCCAACCCCCCTGCCAGAGCAGGAGAACCTAGAGTAGAGCACACAGGAATGCGTCCAGGCGGGTTTTGAATGTCTCCAGAGAAGGAGACTCCACCACCTCTCTGGGCAGCCTGTTCCGGTGCTCTGTCATCTGTCACAGGAAACTCAGTGACAGGACGGTTTAGGAGTGTTCTTTGCACACAAACATGTTCTCATAAGGTACCTGAGCAAACACATTGTTGAGAGATCTGTTTCAAAGCCCCTGGCGGTTTGGTTAAGAGCAGATTAGAGGAACAAACCGATTGGTTTGTTGGTTTAGGAAGGGACACTGGCGCGTGGTGTATCAGCGTCTAGGAGCGTTGCTCAATCCACTAGCAGAAATTTAGATGCAGTACCTGCAATTACAGCCTATTTATGGATTTGAGGGTGCCCAAGTGATTAAATAGTAACTCAGGCACAGTGAACTTTGAGATTTGAACCCTACAGTGAGGAAAAAACAACACACAGTTCCCACATTGGTTTGGCCAATTCAGCCGAGCTCTGCTATGAGCAATCTCTAACCTAGCATTTTCTCAGCAGACTGCTGTGCATGAGAAGCAAAAAAACTTACCTAGCACAAGGCAGCTGGTGTGGATAGCTGTTTGGGATAGAATTAAATGGAAAAAAAGTGATCGTGAATGATATAATTGGCTGTGGTAGGTTGTAAAGCCAGACGGGAACATAATCCCATCATCTGTACGACACAGGCTAAGGACCTTCCCCCTCTGCCTTCTTCCTCTTCTGGGACACCCCCGGGCAGAAGGCAGCAGGGCTGAGCGGAGTTTGGCACATCCTTGAGCTGGCTGCGTAAACACAACTTGGATGCCTGCCGTGACATGCCATAGATGTGAAATCACCCGGGGCTCAACTCGTTAGACAGTCTCTGTTGATGACGCCTTTCTCATTCCCACTGGTGGTGTTTCGTCGAGTTCTGCACCACTAAGTGGCGGCAGGCTTGAGTCTGCGTTACTGTACCACTGCTAAATCAGGAATTACAAGCAGCTACACTACGATAAAGCCAGAAGAGTGAGGCTGGGGGGTTAGGCACTTTCTGTAGTATCCCTGATCACGGCAGAGGTGTGTTAGCCTTTGACTGGGTCAGCTAAAGCCATTGTTTAAGTCTACCCATCGGAAAATCAAGAAGCCGTGCCTGTGATCCTTCGTGATGTTAGTCCGTTTTTGTGTTCATTTGTGTTTTGCTGCTGTTGTTTGCATTCCTCCCTGCATGGTTCAGAGTACCCACCCTCCCACACTCTCCTGTTCTTATGCTCTTCGATTTCCCATACAAAAAAGGAGAGCGTAAGAAATGGTAGGAAGAAAATGTGCTAAATGCCCGACTTTCATGTGAGCCACTTTTAAATGTTTTTGTTCAGTTACTGTCGTTTCACTGACAGCCCCATCAGAGTAAGTTTCGGGCAGTGAATTGGACAGCAATGGTCTGGCAGCTCTTACACCACCAACTATTTCGAAGTTATATCTCGATGAAACATGTTGGCACCTGTGTGTACGTGACCTCTGTTTTTCCTTCAGTGACAAAAGCTGGTGGCAGCCTGAACCATTGTTCTTTTTATTTAAAACAAGTCTTTCAACTGGGAGCCAAAAAAATGCTTTTCAGTAAAGCTTTGAAAAATCATAAAAGCAGCCCAGCAGCTTACAAGAATTTTCCATTGCCCAGCTATTCACAAAGGAGAACAGAATTTTTCTGTATGCTTTGGGTGATCTGTACATTGCACCTTGTCCTGTCAAACGAATTTATGAGTAATATTTTTTTTTATTGGTGCTTTCAGATATTTATTGCCTTGGACCCTTCTGATTATTCATTTTTTTTTTACAATATACATACATCCCTGTTCATAAGTGTATCATTTCTCAGTGTTTATTAATTTCTGCTGTCCATCATTCTTGAATAAGTTTTCCAAGTAACTTGAAATGTGATATATGTTGGACAAACTCTTCTTGGCGTGATGACATCAGGGATACAGATCTTCCTTCAGAAACCTCTCACCAGCTCAGTCAAGTTTCTGCCTTGCAGTACAATTCAAGTAGTCAGAACCCGCGGTGTGGCTCTGTGCTCCGGCAGCCAGGGGCTCATTTAACTTGGGGATTGTCAGATGATGATTTTGCCGATTTTGGCTAGCAAAGAGAAGGGTGACCTTTCGGGTAAGTATGTGTGAAACAAACGGCACTTTGAGCCACGCTCTCTCAGCACATTTGTGGCATAATAAGGAAAGAACAGTAACCAAAGGGCCTGTGCAGGTACAGGTACTGTGCAGTCTTCAGTGCTTTTCACAGGGAGTTCATGAGATGGCGTTGCACAAAAGCCAGGCTGAAACTAACTCTGATTTCATTAGCCAAAGTTAGTAGCTTGGCCAGATCCTAAAAAGCTTTAGAAAAAAATCTTACTCATTTTTTGATAATTTCAATCATTCATTCTATATCATCACAGAAACCTGTATCGTGAGAGGGATCCTCAGGCCTGGGCTGGACTCAGACACAGCCATTTCTTTGAAGATCTGGAGCATACATACTCTCTCATATGTTTAAATCTTGCAGTGGCAAAACAAATCGGCTAACTGGCTAATAGCCCATATTTTTTTTCTCTTGCCCTTCTGAAAGACAACATTTTGCTGTCTTTGCTTCTACAGATCTTTTCCAGCTTGAAATTTAGCTTCTTTTCCAGACGTTCCTAATTTTCTTCATTAGTTCTTTTAGAACTCCCAGATGCATCTCCCGTTGAGGACACATGTATATTTAGTTTGTTCAGATGTCCTTCCATCATCTTCTTATTCAGCCCTCGTTCCTCCAGCTGAGTCTAGTAATTTTCCTGAATTTTTCTGTAAAAGGTTCTTTGATGTCCTCATTTTCATTACTCATTTTATTGCAAAAAAGCCAAACTGGTATTTAAAATCTTGGTGTTTTGTGTAAGTGTGATGTAGTGTATTTTGTCTTAATGGAAATACAGCTTCCAAAAACAATTTACATTTTTGCTGTGGTCTTGAATATTAATAAGACTGCTTTCACTCACAAACTGGAGCTGTTTGACAGTCTGGTATTATTTTTATCCAGATTTTTCCAGGAAGTTGGCAACAGTATATGCTGGAAAGCAGTTCTTCAGTATCTCTTTCACTGAAACTGGTTGTTCATCAACACTGTCTGTAATTTCTGTTTCGCTTGCACAGCAATAGAATTCAGTATGAATTGCAAATAAAAGGCGTCTCAACATAATGCATTTTTTTGGCACATGAAGTTGAATTAACTCTGTTCAGTTTCATAATTTTTTCCTATGTTGTTGAAAAAGATAAAGAATTTAGGCCCTTACCTAAGACTGACCACAAGTTATCTGAAGTTGAAGATTTTTTTCTCCGTTCCAGTGCAGTTAAATGATGAGCCAACATAGTATCAAAACATCAATACCAAACCAGGTGCTTTTGAAGACAGGATTTAAACATTGTCAAGTGTTAACGTGGAGCATGTAAAGCACCTGAGATCAGGCTCTGCCCCCGGTGAAGTCTACAGGTCTGGTAAAAGGGGTAATATGGGTGGTTTCAAAGTACGTGCTCTGTCTGTTCAAGCTCCTCTCATGGACCTGCATGGCTTAGAGGGTAAGAAAGAGCGAGCTCAGGCTTCTCATTTCGAGGGTTATTTCTCCCAAGGGTTATTTCTATAGCCAAGAATAACCAGAGCATAGATAAGCTCTTTATGCTAGGAGCTATGACATGGCTAAAGGCCCCTGTTATTTTTGTTCTGTGCAATCTAGAGAATTTCTTTTGGCTGATTATATTTTCAAGGGGATAATTCCACTTATTAGCCCTCTGTACCTCACAGAATTGAAAGTATCTTACTTAATTTACAGTGCTGCAACAGGGTCTCTGCTGCCCACAATTTAACTATGCAAAACCAACCTGTATATTTTAGAATATGTTTAGAGTACGATAGTCAAGTTACAATATACCTAAATCTGTAGGATAACGATTATCTTATTGAAACCTTGGTGTTAAAAATACATGCTATTGGCAATGTGCCTAAACACATTAAGAAGCTTGTTGCAGATTTTCCTTTGAAGAAACTCATGGGTGATTTTTGGGTTTATTTTCTTAATTGTGCGACTGGCTTAAGTATGCCTGCTTTGCTGTATCCTGACATATTTTTTTAGCGTATTTTCAGAATGCCTCTGCAGTTCTTCAAGGTGTGAATTTAAACGTTCCTCAAACTCCCTTGTGTGTTTCTCTTCCTCTTGAAGGAACTTTTCTGTTGTTGCAAGGAAGGACATCTCAGGGGGTGACTGAGCAATGAACAGAAAATCATGGTTAGTAAAAACCAGCAGGTACTAGAGCATGTTTGCATTATCAAATTTTAGATTTGAAAAACATCTTAACCTATAGCAGCAAATAACGCTGTAATGCTTTATAACTCTCCATGAAAACATGAATTGGAGCATACATTTTGAAAGGTATTCAGGTGCCTAAATGACATAATGTGAACATGATCTTTGAATACCTGTGATATTCACAGCATTAGGATGTAGATTTACCATTTAAAATTTTAATATCCCATTAGACAGAATTAAGCTGCTTCAGAACCTCCAAAATCTTTGGATCGGCTAAAGATTATGTTTGTCACTTGTATAATTTAGACCAGGACAGAGGACAATAATCTGGCTTTTGGAATTACAGAATATAACTAGTGTTGGGTACTGCTGATTGCCTCCTGTAATTTTAGCTCTCTGCTTCTGTGATGTGATGCTTTCTGAGGAAAGGAAGAAAACCTATGCTCATTTCAGTACTGTCAGCTTCAAGCCCTGCTAGTTTGAAGAATGCACTAAATTTTATTTGCTGCAAGTAGTTCACTGAAAAATCTTTCCATTTAATGAGCATTTAGTAGACTGAGACACAAACCATACCAAAATTGGTCTTAAAATGGTTGTCATGGGATGCAGAGTTGTATAAAGCAAAGGACATGAGTGAGGCTTTGCTGGAACAAGTTCTAAATTTTTAAGCAGCAATTTTTAAGCTGCAATTTTTGTTAATTCTTTTTGCTAGTACATAAGATGAATTCACAGAATCGCAGAATGTTAGGGGTTGGAAGGGACCTCGAAAGATCATCTAGTCCAACCCCCCTGCCAGAGCAGGTTCACCTGGAGCAGGTCACACAGGAACGCATCCAGGTGGGTTTTGAATGTCTCCAGAGAAGGAGACCCCACAACATCTCTGGGCAGCCTGTTCCAGTGCACACAGTGAAAAAGTTTTTCCTTATGTTAACGTGGAACCTCCTAATTCATTGGAATGTCTTTTTCAAAAGAAATATGAAATATTTTTTCTTTGCCTAAAGATAGTGTGCTTGTTTAAATAAATTGAATGTTTATTTGCATAGATAAATACAATTTTGTGACGTGAATTTTAAACAGTCAACTGAGAAAAAACTTAGTATAGAAGCTGTAATAACGAGTAACAGAAAGATAATTTCCTGTCTTTATATGATAATGTATTGAGAAAGACGATTGTAATTTATTATCTTAATTAAGCCATATGTTAAATAGTTTCAGATTGAGTTATTAGTCTAGAATCTCTGGTTTTGTTTTTCCTAGATTGTAAAAAGGAGAGTTCATCTGTCAGCACATCAAATAGAAATGGCTTCAAATGATTTAAATATTCACATATTTTGTGGAAAAGGCCAGTTCTATTACACCTGTAAACTTTTATTCTAGGCTCCATTGTATCAGGATGGGACATTCCCTATTTCCATGGCAACTAGAGGCAGATTTGGTCTTTGCTTTCAGCCTGGTTTAAAACCACCCTTTAGCAGCTTTTCAGGCCAAAAGATACTAACTAGATAAATGCTTTAAAGCACTGTTTTATTCAAACTCTTTGCAGCAGGCCTTGAGATGAAATTTAGAGATTCCCTATAGGAAACCTCTTTTCTTTTCCAAGTACATCAAGTATACGATAGCTGGAAATAAATTCTGAATGCAATACCATCCTTCTAGAGCAAGACTGGCTTCCTGATGTATAGGGCTCCTGAAATGAATTTCAAAGATAAAGCAGAATCTTCCTTTTTTAAGTCCTTCCAAATTAGTATTTTAATGGGGCAGGGAAGAAAAAGTGACTTAATTTGCCATGTAGGAACAAGGAACCCAAAGGTATTGGATCGCTTTGTGCCATTCTTCTGCCAGACCCTGCACTAGCAGGGATAAGAAAGAATGTTAATCTTCCAATGTTTGAGAAGCTCTGGAGGGAGATCACCCGACTTCTGTTTTTCCTCAGAAACACAGGCATGATTTCCCATCCATAAATCATCACTGTTTTCACATGAAGAACTGTTCCTCAGATTTTGAATGCCATGGCTACATGCACATTTATTCCTTCATGGGCTAGATCACAAATGTGTCTCCTTGTGACACTTGGATTCACTGATAGAGTTGGCAGTACTATTTTGAAGTATTTGAAGAAGGCTTTTGTATTATGAAGAAGACACTGGATTTGGAGGCTTTACTTAAAGAATCACTATGTGTTTCGCTTACTGAATACCAGCTCTGAAATCACCGATTCAATACTGAGCAAATAAAATACTTTCAGTGAGAAGTGCAAGAAACTGGGAAAATGTGAATCTGAAATATGAATTTAATAGGTGTCATCACCTGGAGAAAAAAAGTCATGTCGGCCTTTTCCATATGGACAGCAGATTTACATGGGTGCTGGTCTTCAGAAATGTTATATCAAGCTATGACAGATTCTCAGAGATTCATAATAACAATGTTTACAATTGCTGACTTGTCGTTGGAAACATACTGGCCTCATGATCAAGCTCTCTTCCTAAAATGGTAGTGTCCTTTGCTTCAACCGACACTTTGATGTGTTTTTTTCTTCAAATACGCTGTAAACGCCAAATGAAGCATTTCTGCATTTCCCCAGAGTTGAGAGAAGAATGTTTACCACTTGGAATAAGCAGATCAGGGTTCCCTACAGCTCCTTACCTGAGGGTCAGACATCACTGGCTATCATTTTAGATAGATCCCTAATGCACTGGGGTTTATGTACTTTGAGAGAAGGTTGTATCTAAACAAGTCTAAAAGGCAACATTTCTTGTTGGCAGCTAAGCTTTGCTTTCCAAGCCTCTGGTCTGTTCTTTCACTATGTTCTTTATTGTCTTTTCTTTCAGTGCCTGAGGAAGAAAAACCATAAAGAAACTGCTTTAATCCATGTCTCAGATGAGATTCATGGTCCCTAGTTTTGAATTTCTTTTCCTCAGATAACACTTCTTTTATGTCTTTCGGTTTTCTAACTGGAGCTGGGTAAAAATGGGTTCATTGGTAAGCTTTGAGCCTAACTCGTTTGGGTAGTTAGGCAACAAGGACTATAATTTTTCATTTCTACCGTGTCAGCTGATCCCATATTTCTTTGGTGTATACCGGTAATGATAATCACCTGTTTGCCTCATCACTTGCTGGAAGTGAAGGAGATAGAGATGCATATTTCCACATATGAAATATGTGCTAAATATGTATTTTCCTTAAGCAGGAACTACCCAAAGTGCTTATGAATTAACTCTGGGTTCCTGAGGAGAAGCACTTTGGGAAGCTGGGTCTGTTCTCTCTCACAGACTGCCTAATTAATTTGCCTGCAGTTAATCTCCTTCTTGCCCTGTGAGTTGTCCCAGCATTCTTGGATGCACCTTTAGCAGGGCAGTAAGAAAGCTTTCACACTTGCGATGTTTTAACTTTTAGTGGTTAAATCATGAGTGGTCAAATCCCAGTGTTAAAGCCTTCTCATGTTTAGCCCCGTCAAGTAGAAAGTCCAGGAAAGTTCTTGTAATACCAAGATTAGAAATTGGTCTGGCTAATTTTAGTCTTGCTGTGATTAAACCTGGGGGCTTTTGGGAGTAGTTTCCTCTAACCCTACCCTGTAGTACATCTCAGGCAGCAGTACAGATGCCTGCCTTCAACAGGCTTCTGCTCAATGAAAACCAAAATTGAGATGCCTGGGAAATTGCCAAGCGATGTAGGAAGGCTTTTAGAGGGCCTAAGTACCTAACCGGCTAGGTAACAGTAATACCTAAGAGAGACATAGACCACAGCATGCCTCAGGGCAGGATCAAGACTGTCAAAATCATTCCTAATAATGCCCAGTGGTAGAATTTCCACAACTTCCTATTGCAATCTATTTATTAAGCAATTTCCCATCATTAATGTTGGAAAGTTTCCTAATGCCTAATTTAATTTTCTCTGGCTACAGCTTAAGTCTTTCTGTCTTTCCAAGTCTTGAAAGCAAGAACAGACAATGTCTGTCCATGGTCTGAAGAGAAACATGAGAAGGTATTTGTGACTAAAAGTTAAAGATCCAGATCAGGAAGCACAATGTATATAACTGCCTGCTCCAGCCGAAATGAAGAAATGGTGTAGATGTGGACTCTTCCGAAGCTGCAAATAATCTTGCTATTTTATTTATTCATTTATTTATTTATTTTCTGAAGCTGGACATTGGACTGTTCTATGGAATAGTCTTCCCAGAGACTGGGAATGGATCAGGCAACCATTTTCTGAAGTTCTTTGTTTCAGAAAGAGAGCACAGCCCAAAGTACTGTTCAGAGAAAAAGTATTTCCCTAGATTTTTGGAAAGCCTCGAAACAAGAATTTTTGGGCTTATGGGAACTTCCAGCTCAGCTTTCTAGCTTACTCTAAGGCAAGAGTGACTTTCTCTGCACATGTAACCTCTAAGTAAGAATATGAAGGGACAGAGGTTCTAGTGGAACACTTACTAAGAGTCTCTATTTTCCCTCTTCCCTAAATACCAACAGAGTAATTTTGGTAGGTATCAGGACATCACCTGCAATTCCAATGTCTTCTATTGGTGCTTCAAATATTCTTCAGAAAAATGGTCCCTCGTAACATCTTCAGAAGTTTTTAATATACTGGAGATTTTACTTAGAGGAAACATCAGTCCTGAAAGCTCTGTCAAAGAACATACTGTACGGGGTTTTTTTCCTCTTTCTCCTCAATGCAATGGCCTTGCATTTGAATGCAGAACTGTAGAGTAACAGACTGTTGAATCCTCTCTTCACTAAAGCTGTGGTATCCAGTGTCAGTCTGAGTGATGATTTCATTTTGGCTAACTTCTGAACTTGTACCTGCTTCGATGCCACTGATTTGGACTTACTCTCTGTACGAGAAATATCCCTTGGTTAATAGTTTCATTACGTACTTTGCCCACACACCAGCCGGAAACCTTTTTCCTTATAATCCAGTCAACTGTCTTGGCATTGATCCTGTCCTCAGTGCCAGCTGGGACACCCTTTTCCTGCAGCTTGCAAAAGTGTCTCATAACGGACATTTCCCCTGGGCTGTTTGGAAACAGAAGCTTTGCAGTCTGGTGTCTGTCTGACACTTCAGACAGAAGAGAGGAGGAGAACTAGTGTCTATCAGACTCTCCTGAAAAAGTCCAAACAATTCTTTTCACAGGTAGCAATTTAAAGAGTAAAACTCTCAAGCCATGAGAAACCAAAAGCCATTTACTTAGAAGTCCTGTGAAGCGTAAGAATATAAAGATGGAGGTGAGGTCGAACACCCAGAACTATGTGGTTCTCACTGTTTTCTGACTATCGTGACATAGCTGCTGGACCACGGTCAGCGAAGGGCTGCACTGCAGTCCCAGCATCCCAGGCAGGCCATCCCTATGGTGCTCCCTTGTCATCAGTGAGATTCCGGACTATGAAGACAGCCTTCCAGCAGCCACATCTCCGATAGGAAAGGATGTGTGCCCATTTCTGAAGTGGACAGCAGAACTGGGCTACGACCACCACAAACTGCTTGAAGATGATTGTTGGTGTCATGATGCCTCTTCTCTCCTACTTAAGGTGACAAGTGGCAAGAAAATTGTGTATTGGTTCCCTTCCAGTAAATGCTCAAGTCTTCCCCCTTCTCTCTCTAAAGGCTCAGCCACACACCTGCAGTTCAGGATCTCCTGGGTACAAAGATGCACGTATCACAGCTGGCCAGAGAGATGGCTACAGTCCATTCCTTACTAATCTTGTTAGTTCTATTACTTGGCGATGGTGTGGTTGCATGGTTTGATGTCTGGAAAATAAGTGCTAAATTTTCGAGTGGAATAAAATAGTGGCCTGTAGTGGAGGCCTAAGGAAGAACAGAAGACACTAAGGAAGAGGATAAAGCTCAAATTTACAGAGAGATCTAAAGTCAAAGAATTATGGGAGGTTTTTCCTAAGAAGTTGCTCTAGGCAAACTGAGATTTATCCCGCTTGTCGTGGACGTCGGTAATCTCTAGCCTGTGAAGACTGAAAGAAAGAATGCTGTGCTATTACTGTTTCATCTCAAGAAAAATAAGGATTACAGCAGTTATAATTTCTTTTCCATTTTAAATACAACAGCTAACACACAGAAGATAGTTGCTGCGATTCCTCTAATTTCATTCATCTACCGAATGCCGTAGAAACTTGGTTTGTTGAACAGCACTTAAGGCAGTACGTTTTTCAGGCATTATGGAAATAGACTTAAAGCAGAGTGCCCTTACACAAGGCAATATGAAGCAGAGTGCCCCAATATAGGAAGTAATGAGCAAAAATGTAGAAATCTCTTTCACAGTCACATAATGCAGGTAATTATCACCATCGTTATTAGTACAGAGGTATGGCCCAGTAGGGGAAGTTTAATCTTCAGAAAAACTGCATTTATGCCAGGATAAGGTATTTCCATTTTTGCTGGGCTAGCACTGTATAAATAATAATGACAACAGTGGTGATCTTATTTTTGGCTCCTCCAGGGCTGCATTTGCTCCACAGATGTACCTTTCAGAATGTATGTGTTATAGGGAAACAGTTACTTACTGATAAGTTTATTTCTTCTGCACTGTGAGCAGGGCTCAGTAAGCTGCCTGTACGGCCCTTTTCAGGAAACAGCCTGCTGAAGCCCAAAGGATACCCCATCGGTGGTGATGGAGATTCATCATCTGTTTTCTTTTCATGACCTCTGTCCAGTGTATAAGAAGATAAAGTGCGATCACTTTTTGAACCAGTGATACCGCCTTGGCCGTATAAAGCAGGACTAGAGTTTCTGTGGCATCCACTGGCTGTGAACACAGCAGTCTGTTGGCGTTCCTTTTCCCATGCATCTTTCTTTTGGAAAGTTCTGAGAGAGAATAAAAAATCAAGGTATGAAAACTGGTTAAAATTCGAAGCTATCACAGCAAAGCCAAGCTTTTTTATTTTTATTTGTTTATGTGATTTTGATTACTTAGCTGTTCGAACTGCTTCATGCATCACGTTATGTGCATCAGATTAAGCATTACCAAGTTGCAGCAATTTAGCAACTTCCCACCTAAGTTCCTGTAAATGCCGGAGTGTGCATTCTTTGTCTGCTTCAGCTGTGACTTAAGCTGTGACTTAAATCACACTAATTTAAGCCCTTTCACTGCAGCTTAAGTTGAGTAACCTTGCCATACAATTGTGGCAGGACAAGAGCTGAAACACAAACCTCACTTCAGGTATCGAAGTTACCAATACTCTTCAACTGTTTGTTACCCCTCCTTTGCCAAAGGTTGTCATCCCTTTAGCTGCTCCGTGGAAGAAGCCACGTAAGCGCTCTTCAGCCAGGTCCTGATAACTCGCTTTACAGCATGACGGGAACCAGGCTGAATTTAGCCACTCAGATAGAGGGAATGAAATACAAAAGTATAAGTGAGATGGGAAACAAAACCTATTATTAGTAGTTGGATAATTAGTAAATTTTTATCTAATATCACCTTAAAAAACTATGTTCGAATAGCTAGAATTAGAATAAGTGCTTAAGTAAGTGACATTAAAATATGGTACAGGAATCTTCGATCCTGCATTTCTACTGCAACACTAATTTTTACGGCCATACTATTACTGATCTAATGATAACACATTGAAGATTAAGATGAGAAATAAAGAAATTTTTAAAATACACTTTTAAAATTGTACAAGAACATGCTTTTGTAATAATAAGTGGAATCTTCATGCTTACAAAAGAATTTTTAAGTATTTTGTTATGATGTTCCATAACTCTTGTATCCCACTTACAGTGATCGGAATGGATGTGAAAGCATGTATTTGCATTCATTTGTAGTTCTGTGAAGCAAAAATTACTATGGTTAACAGCACCTTAAAAAAAAAAAGCAGCAAGCTATTTTCTTCCCATACAAAACATCTTCTTTTCCTGACAGCTAATTGAACAGTTCTGAAACCATATTGATAAGAGCAGAGAATTTTGAGACTAGCTTGCCCAGATGTCTGCTGAATTAGACTAATTTTCAGTTGCATCTTTACTTGTATTATCTAGCAAAACATGCAAAAACCATTTAAATTATTTCAGATTTTATTACATTTTTGTTACAATATTTCTGACTGAGGTAAAATTTCCGTTGTACTGAGGTCTTACGATAAAATTGAAATGTTAATCTTGGGAGGTAACTACTAAAACATGATAGCTGTTTGAAAAGTTCCTATCATTGCAAATATCCTACAAATATCCTAAAACACTTTGCTAATTTGAAATGCAGCTATAAAAACTTCTAGGGATCTAAAGCCTCTAAAATATAATTATTATAAATATTCAAGAGTATGCAGTGCTGCTCAGATCCAAGGAAAACAGCTGCTTCTTTTTTTTTCTTTTTTTTTTCTTTTTTTTTCTTTTTTTTTTTTTTTTTTTTTTTTTTTTTTTTCCTTTTTTTTTTTTTTTTTTCTTTTTTTTTTTTTTTCCCAAATAGAAAAGAAGACTTTTCCAAGCACAGGGAAAGGACAGTGTTCTCTGCAAGAAGATCACACCATCGTTTTCTCATCATGATTCTAATATATGGTGTTGGGAGAAGGTGGCTGTGAATTCTTAATAGGCCCTGCTTGTACATAAGCCCTGAAACATGAAACTGAGTACTCCAGAAATGGACTGTGCAGAACAACTCAGCAAACGAATGAAAAACGTATTTTTCTCTGCTTATAAAAGAAGTAGTGACTAAGATACTCTGAATGCTACAGGAAAGCAAATTATAAGCATGATAGTACAGTATTATTATTACTGTAATAATATTATTATACATGCTAACATAAAACGCTCTGAGAATACTCACCAAACCTTCCAGTTTTCTAAATCAGCTAAAGTGTTTATCTTTTGGGGGGCAGAGTTTTCTCCTTTCTTTCATGCTTTTCTTGAAAGAAATACACTCTACTCTTTGGGCAGAGGAGAACGATTTTTTTTCTTTATTGCCCCCTGTTTTAAAGTCCATGCCATCTATTGTTTGGCTGAAGGGCACAGTGAAAAAAAACTGCCACAACTGTAGATAGATGGCGTGAATAATAAAATCACGGATTTTCTTTTTTCATCTTGTGTTCTGACCTTTTTGGAAGCAATTTCCTCTGTAAACCCACAGTAAAGTCTATGTGATCTGTGTTCTTTTTTCCCCCCAGAACTGCTTCTCTATGTATTTAATAACAGTTATTACTGTTATTTTATAGCTTACTTCACTAAGAACAGAATTTTCAGACTTGGGTGCCTACAGCTATGGTAGCTTTTAGATAGTCAAACCAGACACCCCCTGAAAAAAAGGACCGATTTTTTAAAGGAACTCTGCTTCCTACTGTAATCCATAGGATTGCTGGGGCTGTTTGCTATCTTGGAAGAACATGACAGCTACATTTAAGTGCTTTGATATGGATACTATGCCTTCCCTTCAGACAGATTTCACAGTTGGGGTTTAAATTTCTGCCGGTTCAGTGCAAAATAATATCTAAGAGTTCTACTTTGAATACAAATGTAAAGGTAGGCAAATACCTGCCAATTTGTAAAAAACTCCATTTGTTAACACTGGCAGTGCAAATACACTACAACTGCAGTTGAATAACCTGCTTTCTGTGGGTTTACTATCCTAGAGTATTTAACATACACACACACACTTCACAAAAATAATATCACTGTTGACACGGCGACATGGGACAAGAAGTGGAAGAACAATGTCCTTGCAAAGGAATTTATGTAGACAGGATTGATCTTTCCAGACTCACATATAAAACCAGCCTGGTCCCTATGCGATCAATGATTTCAGTGGTGCAAAACAAACTCCTTACACAGCTTGTGCTGGTTGACATATCTAGTCTTCAGAAAGAAAACAACAGACCTTTAATGACCAGGATGCCTTCAGAGTTTATGTTGAGCTTTTACCTTGCAAGTGGAACTGCTAGCTAGATTTTAAAAATGGTGAAAAAGGATTTTCCTGAAGAGATTGTTTTCTCTGCTTCTGGTTTATCTGTTGCAATAACTGATACAGTGGTGAGTCTGACTAAGAGTGTGTGACCTCCAAGGGGTAGTGAAATCCTCCTTAAGACAGATACGCCACTGTCAACACAGATCCTTTAAGAGATCCCCAGCTGCCTTAGCAGGCATCCAGCCCTAGCCTTTTCCGCCTTGCTTTTGACACATGATGAAAGTGCACTTTGGCTTGCCCAGTTACCTATTTTGTGTATATTTTTATGGTAAGTAACTAGCCTTTCATTTGGGAACTCACGTGCATGTTTTAATTTTCAAAGAAACAGGCTAAACACATCAGCTTCATCAGAGAGAGCCCTCTTCAACAGTGCAAAAATTTAAATCAACTGTGTATGGCCAGGGTCTAAATAAAGGATTGAAATCTTGAGGGTGGGGAAAGCTTAAGTAATTGGCAATTAGAAGTAAGTCAATCATCACAGATGAGAACAGTAATTAATTAAAGTGGTTATAGGGAGGATGTGGGCACAGTTTTTTTAAGCAAAAAGATGCTACTCCTGCATATCTTACTTTGTAATATTTATAACTTCACTGTGTACTGCAAGACAGAAAGAAGATACCATGCCCCTCTAAACGGCCAGTGTAACTTCCTGCAATTTCCTGGATTTTCTCTAGAGGTCTCCTATCTAACTAATGGCTGGCCATGACTAGGATTCTAGGACTTATTGTGAGCTATGCCTGAAAAATATTATAGAATAAACTTAGTTGAGGACATTCTTTTTCATTGTGCAAACCTTTCTGGGTTTCTGATGGCAAATAGGAAAACCAAAAAGCACAGCTTCTGAAAATTACTATTTAAAACACAAACACACCCCCCTTGCACAAGCACCATGTTTTCTATTTTTCTGCTATGTAAAAAAAGTCATTTTGCCCTTCCTCCAGTGCCATAATTACCATGGAAACAGAACTGCAAATTAAAACAGAAATTACATGATCTATGCTCACAATAAAATAAAACATACCCCAGAGTTCAACTCAACCATTGCCTGGTTTATCTGCACACATTTGATGGTTGAAAATTTAATTTTAGTTTTCTGATAAAACCTTGAGGTAGATCCCTGTTTGGGAACAGAGAACTGACAGTATAGAGAAGGCCCAGTCTTAAAATGACTGGCTGGCTGATGTGTATGTACAGTACATGTGAAATTTGCACATTTTATTAAATCTGTGTATGTATTTATTTAGCTAAATAGCTTTTCATTTAGGAAATCAAATGCATGTTTTAGATCCTGAAAACCATGCTGAATATATCTGTTTCATCAGATTAATTAGAATCATAATTTAAATTGTGTTCAGTAGTGTGGTTGAGATTTCTGTCATAAAACTGGTTAGCAATCCCAGGTTTCTCTCCCAATTTTGGTTTAACATTGGTCTTCAATGGCTATGAAATCCAATTACCTGCCTAGTTCTACTGTCTCATATTCACGAATGAAACATCACAGTTCCTGAGAAAATGGGAAAAAAAATCTTGTACTCACTCAAGGAGAGTGAAAGCATGAGCAAAAATTGCGCTGACCAATTTTTGGTGAAATTATGAGACCTACAGGTGCAGAATAGTCTGTATCTTGGTTTGTAAATATTTGTCTCAACAAAACCTTCAACATAATTTGAATCTTAGTAGGAAAACAGCCATACCTCCCACTTCCATATATATGTGTGTGTGTATTATGTATATATATGTATGTCCACACATATGAGAGATATGTATTTACATACACATGAGTATTACCTCCAACACTAAAATCATATTTAAAAGGAAATTTTAGGTAAGAATGTAGCTACATATACTGGGATGTCTTTCTGTTTTGCAGCAAGAAAATCACTTTAAATTCTGCCAATGACTGAATGTATGAGTTTAAAACCTTAACCTGTGAAATTTTGTCTCCAGTTATCTAAACTTTGCTTCACAGAACTTCTACATTACTGGTATCATGGAAGTTCTTTATTACAAATGATCAGAGTATTTAGCTTCCTATTAATGTTTACTCTCCTGTACTGTGAAATACTGTTTATCAGGCAGTTTAATTATCTTTTTATTACTGCAACGCCATGATTGTAACGTTTGAAGGTAATTCAGTGCTTCACTGAATACAGGGAAATAAGAAGGAAGTCATCACTACAATGTTTTCTGTGAGTGAGTATTCTTAAGTCTCATTATTTTTCCCTAACAAGAAGTTTATTGTAGTAATGATTTATTCAGGGAATCCGAAATGATGTTTATTTTAAAAATCAGGTCACCCAAGAACACCAAAACTAGACAAGGCATTAAAATACATTTAATGAAGCTTCCAACAAATGAAACTGGCGGGACACAAAGCTTTTCAGCAGGGCTTGTGGTTCAAACTGCTTATTAAGATAACCTCCTGTGGAGCAGTTTACCTCTCATGTTGGTTTTTATATCCTTTCCTTGTCTTGTTTTTATTTGGCAGTAAAAATACGTTCTGTATTTGCAAAACCTGGAACTAAGGATAACTTAAGCAGCACATAAAAAGTTTTTTAAGTTGTTTCATGCGATAAATATTAAACTAATGATCAAACATTTCTGGGACTTCATTTATTGCTAAATTCAGTTAGCTGCCCAGAAAATCGTAGGAAATGCTTACAAAGATACTACCTAGGTCTGGTATTGATGTTGGTGGGAGTTCTGAATGAACAGAAACAGAAAAAACGCTTAACGGTTTGGCCCAGTTAGATGCTTCCACAAATCTTACAGGAAGTTTCATGTATGTGTACAATCTAAATATTACCTGTCTTCCTTTTGTTGCATCTTTGAACGGGTTTGGTAGCTGTGGTCTGTTTCTCCATATGTATCCATGCCACCCAGTATCGATGTTTCTACGTCATTTTGTAGTTTAAGATGCCTGTTTTGTAATCTTACATTCTCATGTTCCAGTTTGTGAATGGAAGCTGTGAAACTTCCATGTTCTTTGTTAGATAAATCTATACTCTGGGAAAGGAGATAAAACCATCGTTAAATAGTTATTTTTTTCCACAATGAATGGATGTTAGTATTTTTAACAAGCAAACACAAAACAATGTACTATGCTAAAGAAAGACCGAGCTGCCATATAAAATCATGAAGCACTTAGAGCAAACCAAGAGAACTGCCTCCAGAAAAAAAAACCCACGGTAGACAAATGGAAAAGAAGGGATAACAGCCTCTATAACATAATAAAACAAATTAAAATTTCTCAACAAACATGCATGCAAAATATTATTGTTGTAAATTCATTGCTTGCTTTGTAAAACGTAAGACATAAAAGCAACCATAACAGCTATAGCCGTAGACTGCATTGCTCCCTCCAGTAACAATTCCAGAAAAAATAACAAGAAAAATTATAGAAGTGCATTACTATGGTAGATACAGGGTATGTCTACAGGCATAATTTAATATCTGTGTTGAGACACAGTCACCTTCAGTTTCAGAAGCAGTAAAGTAAAGCCACATCAGCACAGCACTCTCTGTCTGTGTTACTAAACCCTGCTTCTCGTTGGGTTACCCACATGGAATACAAGTCAAAATACCGAGAGTGCAAGCAACACGTGCACTGCGACCAGGGGCTGAAGAGGCCCATCCACTAGGCTATCAAGAGGTGAAGGTGGAGATTAGCTCTGGAAGTTGACTAGCCAGGGTGCCCTCTTTGTTTTTTTTTGTCTTATCACTTATTGCATAAAGCCTGTGCTGCGTACCTGAGCTAGCTAATTTGGAGCTACCTCTCTGCAGAATGCTGCATTGCTTTGTGTAAATAAGTTTGCAATTACAGTATACTGTCATCAACAGAAAAGTCTCAAAAGATTTACCAGGTTACACACAAAAGATTAAAACTCCACACATTTTATTAAGTTGTGCTTTCATATATTTCTAGATTTATGTTATTCTTTTGGAACCCAGTAACTCATGAGTATTAAGGATTTGGTTCTTAGTATTCTGCTAGCACAACTGGGCTTCTGCACCTGAAAACTTATCTATTCCTTGCACTGACTGCTCTGATGTCATCTCTTCCTACAAACCTAGCCTTGCTTGGCTAGTTTTATGGGAAATTTATGAGCCAAGCTGGCATGGAAGTGCCAGCAAGTATAAGAAAATTCAGTATTTTGTGCAAGGATGGGGGGCAGGGGCTCAGCTCTGTCTCCCAAGCAGAGTGAGGTGGCAGAACACAGGAAGAAAGAGAGTGCTAAGTCACCCTACCCCTAATAGCTCTAGAATCAGCAGCACAGCTATAATGGCATGAACCCCAAAACTTGAGCTGGCACAGCTACATTGCTTTTGAAATCTAAACCAGTAACCGTGCCTGATGATGCACTACCCCATACTGACTTAGGCCGGCACTGGTTTGAGGGGTCTGTGTAGTGCTCTGCCGTACTGCACAAACACATCTGTAAAAATCTGTCCGTCCCTCCAATCTTAATATCAAATACCTCACAATCTTTAATGTTAAGATCCTCACAATACACTAGTAAAGTAGGAAAGAATTATTAATTCCACAAATGCACTGAGTTGTGTAGTGACCTGGATATTTCTAGCAACTGGATTTTACTGTGAAAATTTAACAAACATGGTGCCTACAAGGATTCTTGTCAGTTCTTCTCAATGTTCATGAAGAATATCACTGTAGAGAAGAGCTAGACATGCATACACACATCCATCTATGTTTCCACACTAGTATATCATATATGCACATGCATATATCCAAAATAGGGTATATGTATGAATAGGTAATACATCACTGATAGACATATATACTATTTTAAGGGCGTGGAAAAATGACATTCTTTCATGCGTTTGTCAGTCTACAGTAAGATAACTGACAGGGTAGAAATCCCCCAAAGATGTATTTACAAGCAACATTCTGGTGTTTTTTCTAGTGATAGATACAATAACTGCATATGTTCTGTAAGCAGGGGATGTTTAGAAGCTTTTTGTGGAAGGCAGTGTATATAATATTCATTACACACATATAAACTATAGTTCTACAGGACATTATGGCACACTTATAAATTAATCTTTAAGTATTCCCTGTTTAGAGAGAAAGAAATACTAAACTCTGAAAATAAGCTCGGTGTCAGTTGTTTACACTGTTATTTAAATATATGAACAAAGGGATAAAATAGTAAAAAAGGAACATATTTTTGCACAGTGAGAATGATGACTAAACCCAAATATTTTCTGAAGCAAGTGATGTAACTTAGAAAAAATAGGCTCTCATAAACTGTTTAGTGTCTAGACAGTTACTGAAAAATTTAGCTTACTTCTAGTTTACCACAGTTGAGGTCAAAATTATTCCTAGCTATAGCCATCTTCAGGCTGTGCGTGAATACCCTTTGGTTTTGATTATGTCACACACCTTATTTTTCTTTATTTATTTTACACAAGCCAGAAATCTCTAAATCTGCCATGATCTCAATCGACATTTTCCGCAAATATAAGTAACTGTTCTGCACATCTCATAGATTAAAAAAAAAATTACCGTGCAAGTTTTACACTCCTGGTTTTCCACCATCTCTTTCAGATGTGTGTTTTCAGATTTGATAACTTTGTATAGGAAATCCAACAACTAGGAGAAGATTCAATTCTTGGTTAAATACAAGAATATTACTGTTAACTTGAAATAACACTGGGCATAGACACATGTAAGTTTAATTTTACAAAACATACATAAAGAATTATGAAACTAACTATAATATTCTTTTTTTAAATACAGCAATACTAAAGCAGAAAGAAGTCTTAAACCCCCTATAAAAGATACACAAATGCAATGCCTCTGATTTTATTTACCTTTTTGAAAATAGGGGAAGTATAGGGAGTTCACATGCAGTTAGAAGACACAAAGAGGAACAGATTTTGCAGGCCCTTGAAACTGGATGAAATCCTAGTCATGAAGCCTAGGAATGACATTCACTCTTTTAGTGATACAATGGGGAACATGGCCCGGTAAAGAGTGCCGCACAATAGGAGACATCTCTCATTTTCCCAAACACTAACTTTCATATTGTCAAAAGTAAAGTATTAGATTAATCATAAGTTTCAATATGCAGTGACCCACTCAGAAAATCCAGAGATACCCAGAAACCTCTAAATATGAAGTTTCTTTTGGTTTACAATACTAAGTCATGAAGAGAGCATACTTGTTTTTAAAACTGAAATGTGCCGTTAAAACACTGGTATCTAACAGTTTTCAGCTTTAAAACTACCAGAATTTTCTAAGCAGATTTGAAAAAAGCTTTAAAAAAAACTGGAAAAAATTAAGAAATGTTCTAGATAATCTAATAAATGGTTCTAATGATAAAGCACATATAATAACAACCACCTCGAAGTTCTCAAGATCTTTTGCATGATAAAATGGTAACTACATTGGGCGGTCAGAATGAATTGCAATTTAGATGTACGGCTGACATTTACCGGTGCTTTCTTGTTCCATTATCAATTTGGCTGCTCTAGTAATACTTCACAGATATTACAGCACTGCTGATGAAAACTACAGCAAGAAATGTAATGTCTTTTTTCACAGATAGTGTATGTCATTATCAACAGCGTGGAGTAAAATGATCTAGGCTGGTTTTTCCTGCTTGCATACCTGTTGTTTTGCTAACAATTTGTCTTTTATCTCTAACTCCATTTTTAACTGTCTTTCCAGAAGACTAGCTTTCTCCATGATAGTTGCTATAGTGATCTCCTTCTGATGAAGCTCTTCTGTCAGGTCAGAGATTTCTGTCTTCGTTCTTTCCTGCTCAGAGCGATGGGACTGCTCCTCTCGATAAAGATGGTTTCTTATCTGTAGCAAATATGTTCCACAGAGAAAAAATGTTGTGCAGTAAATATGATTGCATCACTTGGTACCTATCAGTGACTTTTTTTGCTGTTGCTTCCAAGACACTAACTCTTCTAACTGAATCAGAGATTTTTGAGATTGTATAATAAAACATCTTCATAAGTCAGTGGACACAGCCTTATTTATTTTTACATCTTTTTTCAACCCTTCTTTTGTGCTTTCATTTGCCTATTTAGTATTAGAAATTAACAAAATACAAGGCTTTTAAATTAACATTTAAAAAGAATGTAATAAAAAGAATGTTAATTTTAAGAACTGGAATTTATGGCACACAATATCCAAGGAAATATCCATTCAATAAACCTAAGTATGATTTATTTATGTTGCTCCTAAGTTAATTTAGGTTTAAAATAAGTTTAATGCAGCCTAAATTAACTTAGGAGCTATATAAATGAATCAATCGAGAGTCTTTAATGAGAAACTGTGTTAGAAATAAAGAGTATATATGGTAAATCACTCTATGAGAATTATTCCTGCCATTATATATAACATTTCAAGCTTTCTGCACTATCTCCTTGCAAAGAATCAACACAAAGATTGTTTTCATAATCTTTCTACTATACCCAACAATTTAGTACTGATAGATTTTTATATTATGTAATAAACAAAACTACAAAAACCAGCACAACAACCTTTGAACCCATTTTAATAATTCCTTACAGTACTGTACACAATCAGTGACAGATGGCATTTCGTTTTTCTTTATGCAAACTACACAGGAACACTAGAATTGTAAACAAATAGATGTAGATGCAAAAAACCTCAGAGCTAGATCATGACTATCATACCAAAATTGCTGCATCCAAGTCAGCTGCACCCAATTAGAGAGATTCCTGCTCACATTGCTACTCAGCAAAACCACAACATGCCTCTAAGAGGAGTTCTGAGCATCCTCTACTCCCCAAGTGCTTTGGCCTGCCAAGCCAGATGCCATTCCACAGTGCCATGCCACTCCTGCTTGCACCCAGCACTTCTGAAATGTGCAATGCCATGTGATGCATAGTTCAAACTAAAGAGCGCTGCCCTAGACTGTGCAGGAAGGGACTGATTAAGCTTAGCTTTGTGTGGGTACCTGCCACAGCGACCTGTACCAGTTGATCTGTTAGCATAACTTACATCTGAGACCACCTACAAACTACTACTGACTTCCTATAGCCTATCCATTGCTCACAGCCTTGGAGGGTTTATTACTTGCATGGTATTTTGTGAATGACAGTGCTGCTTAGGCATGGTCTCTTCCATTAGTGCAATAAAGTAGCTAGCTCTGTTGTTAGTGCACAGAATCAGAATGTCAATTTTACAGCTATACACCTTCCTCCAGAAATGCAACCATACATGAAAACTTTTCCATATATGAAAACTTCATGCTCTCCTAAAACCACAATTTATCCTGCTCTCCTCTGCATATGTACATACCCAAGGTCAGTACTTTTTGCTTTTTTCTAAAAATCCTGTATTGCAGTTAAGATCTGGAAATTCTTAAAAATATCTAGTACCTTATTTAGCTCTTCTTGTTGGTGTTCTTGACTTTGTGCCAGTAGTAATAACTCAGCGTTTTTATTTTCTAGTCGGTTAGTAAGTTGTACACAAGGTGACTGATGCCTTTAAATAAGAAATAAACAAAACATGAAACAAGCAGAACGTTCAACAACCTTTACCTTACAGTATCCTCTCCACAGTTCAAAACTGTAGAAGGCCTGCTTGCTAATGAAAAAAGAAACCACAAAAGATTTAGCCTAAACCAGGTTGGACCTTGGGAGATTTCTAGGGATTAAGGACAGTGCAAGTGCATGCAGAAAGAATCTTGAAATCTCTTGTAGATTGGTATTTCATATAATCTCAAATAGCTACAGTAGATTAGGTAAACCATAAAAAGACGAACATTTTACTCAAAGGAGGTTAGGGAGAATCTTAATTGCACTACTTCTAAAGTGTTGTAATGCCCAGAAAATGAAAGAGACTGTAAACATACAAATTGAAATATATGAAATACATTGACTTGCAAAGATCTAGGCAGCATTAAAGCCTTTGAACAGAGCCTGCATCTATTGCCTGCAATCTTGTTATATATAATTGCCAATGAAAATGTTTATTCTAAAACTGTTTAGAATCTGAACATCTGAATCTAGAGTGTCTTTTTACACAGACTTAATTTAAATCAAATGTAAGAAACAAGTTATTAGCTCAGAAGTACTTGTTGATTTAAATGTTGTCTTCAACATACATACTTTATTTGAATTTCCTGCATGTCTTTATACTCTCTGACTTTCAACAATTCTGCATGCAACTGTTGGCATTCCAGTTGTATCCTTCTCCAGAGAGCATCTCGTGACTGCAGCTCATTTCTCGTTTCTGAAAAGCCTGCCTCCATGTTCTAAAGAAACAAGCAAATACATAAATAGTTATATAAAATTAGATGGCTCAAAATGCTGTATTTTAACACATCATTTTTGATACCTGTGTAATTTGTATGCAAAGACATTCAGGCTTTTATTTTGAGGTTCATTGCTGAAAAAGGCATTGCTTTCATATCAGTTCCTTTCTCCAGAAATGTCATCTGAAAATCAGATGCTGAATATTCTTTAGCTCTTGCAATGTACCAATGCATCTGTTACTGAAACTATGATAGGAAACATCATTCAGAAGTTCTTTATTGTACTAAATGCACCTAAAATACATTGTTCGCATGTTTCAGCAGGTTCTGTCCCCTAGAACATGTTTCACATGCAAGAACTAGTGCCATAAGTAACTTCCATTTTCTGTTTTCCTAACGGCATTTCCAGATTTATAAGTTTGAAAACTACAAGGCTATAGAAAGGCAGGATTGGGTGCATGTCTTCATTAAACATTGCCTGGAAGCTTGGAGCAGATACATCTAGACTTAGGTACTTAGATAAGATATGTGCTCAATCATCTCCAAAATCCAAAACTAGTTCTATCTGCATGGAGTTAATTGCTTATTTAAATGAACATCACAAAATTTTCAAACAATCACAAAAAGATTTTTCTTAGGGACTCAACAAATGTCTCTATTTACCTTTAATTTTTGATTGATAATGTGATAGACAACCTGAAGGTAACATGGCACATTTGGCATCATAAAAAACGAATTCCCCAAAAAATCAGAATTTTCCCCAAAATATACTGAAAACATTCTAAAGATAAGAACTTGGAAATATAATCACAAACAACAAAAGTAGCAATAATAATCAGATTCTTGCAACAATATCCAGAGAATATTCATTTCCTCTCACCCAAGATCCAAAAGCACATTCAGATTAAAAAAAAATGATTTTCCAAGGATGTTGATCCTTTGCCTTTAAAACTATTACACTAAAAGCACTAATATTTTTCATAATTCTTCATTTTATTTTAATATCCTTTCCAAGTTTAAAAGCAAAAATAAAGCCTTTAAACTTTCAAAAGACAACTGGAATCCAGAAATGACACCGCAAGCACGGAACTTCAAAGGCTTATTTCCTTTAGAGCCTCATATGAGAATGACCTTCCTTCGATGAAGCCTGTGGTTTTCCTCTGGCTGAAAGGGCTGCTGAAGACAGATATGAAGTGCTTTTGCGTTTTTTATAGGGGCTGTATATACGGATACATCCATCTTATCCTTTGTTAAATTAAGGCTGAGAGCGCTTTTTTAAAATCTGAAATGCAAGTCTGGGCATATTAAGTGAAATAAAGCTTAATGAACTGTTAAAATTGTCTGCAAGATTTCCTTATAATCATCTTCATGACTTCAACATTCAAGAAATAGCCACCATTATTTTATAATATACTAATTTGGGGGAGGTTTACCCCTCTGATTTCATTCTGGGGTGGATAGGGGAATTAATGCTGCACAATTGTGTGGCAGAAGTCATATCATCTGTGGCAGACTGCAGTCATCATACTTATTTACATAAATTGTATTTTCTTTTGTGAATTATAATAGCAGGAACTACAGCAGCCACAGCAGCAGCTGCAATAATAACTGAAATAGAAGTTCAGGTCAAGAGTTTGACATGTCACTTCGTTTAGATATGTACTACTTATTATTTTAGGAAATAGCTATTGCACCTAGATAAAGCACTAAAATGATAATTAGTTTTGAACCAGAAAACTTTAGGTTTTGTTTAGAAAATATCTAATGAAATACAACTTTTAAAAGAGTCTGTTTCAAGTTGAAAAATCTACCAAATCCCCTCTTTTCTTCTGTGAAAAGTTTTGCTTCAACTAGCTTGCTGCGTTTGATATCAAAAGGAAGTCTCAGAAATTTCCTGATGAGCTCCTGTTCTAATTCTACTTAAAGCTGTTTGTGCTGGGTTGACCCTGGCTGGATGCCAGGCACCCACCAAAGCCACTCTATCACTCCCCTCCTCAGCTGGATGAAGGACAAAAAAAATATAATGAAAACAAAAGCCTCATGGGTCGAGATAAGGACACGGAGATCACTCACCAATTACTGTCATGGGCAAAACACACTCGACTTGGGGAAATTCATTTAATCTATTGCCAATCAAATCAGAGAAGGGTAATTAGAAATAAACCCAAATCTTAGAAACACCTTCCCCCCATCTCTCTCTTCTTCCCAGGCTCAACTTCACTCCCAATTTCTCTGCCTCCTCTCCCCGAGCAGCGCAGGGGGATGGGGAATGAGGGTTGTGGTCAGTTCATCACATGTTGTCTCTGCCGCTGCTTCCTCCTCAGGGGCAGGACTCCTCACACTCTTCCCTTGCTCCAGTGTGGGTCCCTTCCACAGGTGCAGGCCTTCAGGAACAGACTGCTCCAGCGTGGGTCCCCTACAGGGTCACAAGGCCTGCCAGCAAACCTGTTACAACTCCTGCCAGCAAACCTGCTCCACCGTGGTCTCCTCTCCATGGGGCCACAGGTCCTTCCAGGAGCCTGCTCCAGCACAGACTTCCCATAGGGTCACAGCCTCCTTCGGGCATCCAACTGCTCTAATGTGGGGTCCTCCATGGGCTGGACATCTGCTCCACCATTAACTTCCATGGGCTGCAGGGGGACAGCCTGCCTCACCATGGTCTTCACCATGGGCCGCAGGGGAATCTCTGCTCCAGTGCCTGGAGCACCTCCTCCCCTTCCTTCTTCACTGGCCTTGGTGTCTGCAGACCTGTTTCTCTCGCATATTCCCACTCCTCTCTTCTGGCTGCTGTTCCACAGCGAGTTTTTTTCCCTTCTTAAATACATTATCCCAGAGGTGCTACCACCGTTACTGATGGGCTTGGCCTTGGCCAGCAGCGGGTCCCACTTGGAGATGGCTGGCTTTGCCTCTATTTGACATCGAGGCAGCTTCTGGTGTCTTCTTGCAGAAGCCACCTCTGTAGCTGCCCTGCTACCAAAATCATGCCACGTAAACCCAATGATCAACCTTTTAAATGCAATTATATGCTGTATTTCTATGTAAATTAGTGTCCAGCAGCTGACTTAATGCAGACTTCCAAGAACCAAGCCTCCTTTGTGATGTTTTCAAGCTGCCTCTCATGTATGGCTGCAATTAATTTTGTCAGACAATTCATAAGGTAAAGAAATACACTGCAGTCTTCATTTGGATCTTCTAAAGTTCATAATTTCTGTAGAGCCAACAAACGTGTCTTCCATACATTTCACTTTATCACTGTTTCCTTGCTAATTAACAGTATGAGAGAAATATTTAGAAGCTGACATAAAATGGTCATAGGCATAGAAGATATATAAGGCTCAATACTAGGCTTGCTGTCATTGCCATCAGCATTCTCTCCACCAAGATTCCTATCTGCTCTTCCCTCTTTCACCCACATCAGGTCCAACTATTCCCACCCTCCACCAAACCTGGTTACTTCTTCTGGTTAACAATAGGCTTTGCACTTCCTTCTTTCTCACACAGACATTCCTAATAAAATATTTTCCCTGAGCTACTCCTTTTCACCATACATTGACTTTACACCACTGTTTCCATTCTGCAGGTATTTGCAAATGGCGGCTTTTCTAACACAGCTGTATTCCACACCACCAGCACAGTTGTGCAACTTTCTGCCCTTTAGCTGATAATGTTATGTACATCTAGCTCCACTTCTACTTAAAATGTCTTTAGTACTTCCTATAGCTCCTTTATTCTACTCACATGACTCAAAAAATCCTCTTGCATGAAGATTTTCTTAACAGCTACAGCACAATGACATCTGCTCTCTCTGTTGCACAGCATCTATCCACCTTCCAATTGCCATGATTCATTCCACTCCATATTCTAGTTGCACTGCTCTTGATGGCAGCCTTTTTAACAGGCCCCAAACCAGAGGTTTTTACTTGCATACTGGTAACTTGTATATAGGCAAATGACTCCGTGAACTAATGTGCAAAAGAAACGTATAACCATCACATGCGCTAAACTTGGCTGTTCTGACAGCACCTGAAATTAACCTCCACCGCATACATGGTAATTCCTATGAAGTATATTGCATATGAAGCTGTAACTCTGCAAGGTTGTCTACAAACAGAAATAGATTATCTTTCTCCAGAAACAGTCGCAGTTACTATAGGCCACTCAATACATTACTGAACCTTGTAGTGCTTAAATAAATAAGCAAAAGCATAATTTATACATTTTACCAGAAAAAAAAAGAGCAATGAGCATCTCAGTCCTGATCTGTTTCGAATGTAGCTAATAAAAAAGGCTGTAAGGATCTTGTATTATCTCAATCTTGTCAGAACTCATACATCATGACAAACCAAGAGGCCCAAATGGCTGTCTTCATAGATCAGTGCTATGTTGAAAAATGGTAAACTAGGGATAAGATAAAAACTGGTGGTTCTTCACATGGCTGGCAACTTAAAAATTCATTGACTGCAAAATCTCCCCTCAATGATAATAAAGCATCCTATACACTTTTCCATATACTTATTTACTAGCTATATGGCACAGTGTACAACAAGGTGTAAATCAGATAAAGAGATTTCATAGAAGTCATTTATATACAAGGAACCAAGTGAACTAGGCTGTAGATGCCATGGATATAGGAAAGTTACAAAACTCCAGATAAACAGACAAGAATAAAATACATTACTACATACCAAACATATTTCTATTTTCTCTTTAAGCGTTAGTCAAAAAATTGTGCTGTTCACATCTCATTTTGTGTTCCTGCAAAGAATATACCTAATGTAAAGATCTTTTATATACACATCTCAGTACAGCTTTGTAAAGTATACTCCTAAGTAATTAATTCTTCAACATTAATTCCACAGTCATCATGAAAAAGAGAAACTATTAATACCTGGCACTGGTTTTGGTACATTTTTAGATCCTCCCTGAGTTTCAGATTTTCCTCTTCTAGTTTATTCCTGTTTATCACCATTTCATTCACAGTTGCCTTTAGCTTTTCAACAATCAACTTATCCTTTTCACTTTTGGGCTGGCCATAGGTAATTACCTCTTCTTGGTTTTGTATATTATTGCTTATTTGGAATTGATAATTCTGGGTCTGCTTCTATAAAACAAGAAAATCTTTTAAATAAAATGCAATAATTATATGTAAATTGCTAGGACCAAACCATTACTACTAAAATCATAAAGCTATTTCCATCTTCACCAGGATTTGCTTAGAAAATATGGCACAATGAGAACAGTTTTACTATTTCTCCAAAGGATACTTCCTTTTTTCAGTCTCATGTTCCCTGCCCTCAGTAAAAAAAAAAAAAGTTTCAGAAACTTTCAAGGGCACAGAATTTTTTCAGGGATTTTTCTCCTCTGCTGCCTGTTTCCCTAGCACTTAATGTTAATTAGCCTCAAATGTGAAAAAGGTGATTATGATGACCTACTCAAAGCAGTTACCTATCAAAAATAATTTGAAAGAAATGTTCTTCTTTGATTCATTGAACTCAGTAGTTGTGCATGTGTGTGCCTTAGGATAGAAATTAACCTTTGACTAGAGGGCTAGCATTACATAGGCCAGGTACAAACAGCTCAGTTACTACAGGAACTGTACTTCTTTGATATCATTATCCTTAAACTTGGGGAAGAATCATTTGCGCATTCTGCAGAGTCCCACACTCCTTTCAGTTTCTTGTACTAATTAAAATCCTAAACCCAAAACTTCAGACAATTGGTACTGCCAGTATTTGTGAATTCACAGCCATCGTGAAGAAGCATAATTACTATGGCAACTGTTTATGCTGTTTAAAAAACTATCCACAGGGATCCCTCTACTGAGGGATTAACAAGCAGCCCTAATCTTTCAGAAAACTGAGAATTAGCTAAAAAATGACAACAAAATTTAACCTGGAAATGATATATTATGTGCAGAGATCAAGTTGAGCAAGAAAACATATATTAAAAACAAATAGGGTTACAAATACCATATTTCATTGACAAGGACTGCAAAAAGGCATGCTTCAGACAGCTTTTGTGTCATTGACTATAGTCCCATAATTTGTGTTGGCCGAACACCTAAGCAGAACTGACCACTGGCTGCATATCAAATAAAAAGCCAAGAGAAATTTTCAAGTAAGTTTCATTTCTATAGATAACAAATTAAGGTCCTCTTGACATGTAATTTATGGAGTCTGAGATACCAAAATGTCAAAGCAGCCTGTGAAAAATATAGTGCAAGGCTCCAGCTGGAAATCAAAGACCTCACAAAAGAGGAATTTGAGACAGAGACACAGGACCAATTAATGCTTTTGAAACAGTTAAGGGGTAACAGTCCATCAGAGTTCTATTAAATACATTAGTCGATGTTATGTTACAGTTGTGAAGAGAATTGTCTTCAAAGAAAGCTCACTGATGGCAGTGAAAGCCTCAACAGAAAAATGTGGATGATCACCGTGAGTACTCCATTTTGACTCGTCTAACTACATAATCAACATGCATCAGTCAGTAGTTTTGTCTAGTCAAAGCCTTGCTTTTTTAACACATTTGCATGGAAGTTCAATAGTTGCAATATAATGCTTTCAGCGTCTAAACCCAAAACTTAACTATCACACTTGGAAACTCAGGATATGGGCAAAGAGAATCATAGGAATTGTTAAGAAAGTGTTTCACTAGATTAAGATCCAATGAGCTTAATAACATTGGAAAAGGGGATTACCAGTCAGCAATGTAATTGGCTTCTCCTTACTTAATTTTCGAGCTGTCTTGTGGACCAGTTAACTTGTAAAAGTTATTTTCTAGTATTTTTTTTTCGAGCAGAATTGGTTGTCAAGACATCATTAAATCAGTGTTTTGTTCTGGATTGGAAGGACTTAAAAAAAACCCTGTTAGATCAATAGGCTATGTAAAAAAGTATTAAGCAAATTGGCAAGTAGAAAAGAATCACAAAGTCAACCCAGGACTGAACGGTAACTTGAACATGAGGAAAACCTTCTTTACTCTGAGGGTGACAGAGCACTGGAACAGGCTGCCCAGGGAGGCTGTGGAGTCTCCTTCCCTGGACGTACTCCAAACCTGCCTGGATGCAGTCCTGTGCAGCCTGGTGTAGGTGAACCTGCTTTAGCAGGGGGTTGGACCAGATGATCTCCAGAGGTCCCTTCCAACCCCTGCCGTTATGTGATTCTGTGTGATTCTGTGAAAGCTGAGAAATACGATAAAAAGGAATAAGTGATCCAACAAACAACTCCAAGTGTGATTTTAGAGTAGCATATAGAAATCCATTTTTCTGCATGAATTATATTAATATATATTTATGATCTTCAAAAAAAATGAGGGCTATCTTTGATTTGAGGAACCTTATATTTGAGTCAACATAGTAACAGCATGTACCACTTATTTGGTAAGATAGTTCTAAATAACTTGTCATCACAACTAATTGCATATTAGTAAACAGCATAGAAGATAAAAGTATCTCCACAGTATACTTAAGAAGTAAAAAGGAAAATGCACCGCTTTTTGCAGGTCTTTTACAACAGAACTACTGTAATTTTCAACATGATACTTATTCATTTTCTCATTTTCATGAGAAAAATAACATTAAAATAATTGTATGTATCATTAGATCTTTCAGTATGGGTCTGCCTCACCTAAGGTAATGTATTCACTACCAATATATCAATGTATTGTCAGATTCAGTATAAGTTTAGTGGTGTTCAAATGTTTTAAATTAAGTTAAAATAACTCTACCTATGCTAACAGCTCATTTTCTTCCTAAAGCAGGAAGGTAGGAATTTTACCTGAAATAAACTACGTTTCTCGGACAACAATTTTTGTTGAGCATCTAAATAAACAAGATAATTTTGGCAGATTGTCCCCTTCTTATCCCATTCTCTTGATTTTGCCTCAAATTCCTGAAAGACAGCAAAACAAGGCTAGTAAACACAGGGAAAACAAGTTTTTTCCTTAATCAAAATAACTTTGTAATTTGTATAGTTCTAAGAAAAATCTAGTTTTTAAATTAATACATAACCTTTCCATAATTTTGGAAAGAAGAAAAAACAGAACAATGATATAAACCAGCCACCCAGTCATCCCAACCAGAAAAAAAATCCAGTCTTAAGTGCTGTTAATCTGAAAAAAATGGGTGGTAAATATAATCATCGAATACAAATTATCATAGAATAGAATCATAGAATCATTAGGTTGGAACAGACCTCTAAGATCATCAAGTCCAACCGTCAACATAATACCACCATGCCTGATGATAAAATACTTTAAATCACTTCCATTGCTGTAGATCTTAGCTGTTACGAGAACTTCCTTTTTCACAATGGAAATGTTTGTTCCAAAAAGATATATGATTTTTTACAATTATCCTAAACTGGCATATTTCCCAAATTTAAAAAATACAATTTTATTTCCTACTGAAACAAAATCAAATGCTTTCCAACATAGATTAATACAAATCTTCTCTTACAGCTTTCCTAGTGTCTGCTTTGGCACTTAAACCAATAAACATCTTTTACAAAATATGACACAAATGGAGTTTCAGACTACTTAATGAGGACTGCAGGTTCAAGGCCTTACTAAAGCACTGCTGAGCTTAGTAGATTTTCAACACAGTAATTATTTCCTGAATACTAGAATTTGCTGAATATATTCCAAGCACTCATTTTTCATACTGCATAATTAATCAAATTATAGCATTGTGTTACATTATTTTCACATTTTAATCTTAAATAAGGTCATTCTCAAATTAGCTGGATCAGACAGTTTCACAGTAGTGATATATTTAGTCAATGATAGATGTATAATCCATTTATTATTCCTGTAGTAGCGGATGTTGGCAGCTGTGCTGCAGTCCAAAACATAGTAGCTTTTCTGATGGTAAGGACTCTTCCATGTGGAAAAGACAGCAACATTATGTAGAGCTAGGATGTGTCCAGGATGTGTCCTGTTATGTAGGAACAGTCACATGAAGGTTGCAGAAGTTAGTCCTATACTTTATAGAATAACATAGAAGATAGTCCAAAATAAAGATCCTAAAACCTTTCTGAATTGCAGCTTAAGTGTGAAAGTATTTAATATCTATTAGATCTTAAGTTTTCGATTGTAAAGTTTTCAAAGTGTCTAAATAATCTACATCACAAATCTACATGAATCTACATCATAAACCTGTAAGACTTCACAACGCTTAGCAGCTAGGCAGCTAGCTCACCCTTTCATCTGGTATTCCTCTGCGT